TCCACCCAGTCAACCCTGGTGTTCCAAGGTAACTATGGCTGAGGAAGAAAGGAAGGGAGAAGTGAAGAAGGATCACACTGTCTCTTCTCTGCCTTGGCCTGGAGGTGGCACATATCACCTTCGTCCATGGGCTGGAACTAGTCACGTGATGTCAACTGGGTACAAGGGAAGTTGGGAATGTAAGGGCTATGTGAAATATTTAGGGGACACTTACTTCCTTTCTCAGTTGTTTCTTCTCCCCTGTAGGACTCATCTCAGTTTTTTCTTTGGCTGTAGGTTTCAGTCCTTTGGCTCAGATGGGAACCAAGGCCAGGGGAGAGAAGGGACTTGCCTCAGGACAAGCAGGCATTCAGATCCCAGAGGAAAAAGAATCTGCCTCCTGACCCCTGAGCAAGCCTTCTAGGAGAACTTGTTGTTTGTTGTTATGTGCCGTCAAGTCAGACTCGACTCATAGTGACCCCTCCTTGGGTTTCCGAGGCAGTATCACTACAGAAGTAGATTGCCCCATCTTCCTTCTGAGGAGTGGCTGGTGGGTTTGAACCGCCAGTCTTCTGGTTAGCAGTCAAGTGCCTTAGGCACTACACTACCAGAGCTCCTTAGGAGAACTTAGCATATTTCAAACATATTTCAAATATGTACTAAGGAAGCTCAGTATTTAAAGATAACCTGGGGAAAATCTACTCACAATGTACAAAGTCATTGTATACATATTATGTACAAATAACTTTAAATTCATCACAAGACACATAAATTCAAATATTGTCTGTGTACTGCAGGACAGCCAGTCTCAGGGATAGCATCAGATAGCAGCTTCTCATATATTTTATGTTTGTCTAGCCTTTAACTTTTGAAAAGCTACAGGTTCATCTCTCTAAGCATCTGTTTCTTTGCATATCCACTTCATTGTTCAGTAGATGCTGAGGATTGTAAGATGATCCATGGCCATATTTGATCCCCCTCGTTCCTCCTTTGGCCCATAGGTATGAGACATGTCTCATGTCTTCCCTCTATGAATACTCAGGGAAAGCAACATACAGTAATGTCATTGATCTAAGCCAACTTTACTATGCACCTGGAGGATTAAAACAAACGAAAGTGTAGAAGACACGGTTTCCACACTTGAGGAGACAAAATTAGGAAGGTCAGTTGTCTGATGTTCCCCACCCTAAAATAATGTTTTCTTGAAAGGCAACTCAAAATTTTTTGGGTCTGTCCTCCCTTTTTAGTAAACCATCATTAGTTTGTAGGAACAGGAGAAGGCTTGTGAAGTTGTTTGATAACTATTTAAATTCACTTGTTCTAGGCTGAAACTCTGGAAGGGCAAATACAACTGTGTCCTCTGAAATATTATTTGTTGCATCCATACAAGATACTTCTTTTTAAAGAAAAGATTCTCTATTATTTAGTGAGACCAAGAAAAGAAATAGAAGTCACAGAAGCTATTCCTTTGCCATTTCTCCATCATATGGGTGCCTGGAACACACCCAGGCTGAGAGTATGTTATGCAGGAAGATAGTGTCCCAGCCTGCAATCAAATATCACCAAATTTCAGGGACATCCCAGTGTCCAGGAACTGGCATGTCTGCCCCTCATTTCACAGATGAGCACACCACATGCTTGCCTGGATCCTCTGTTTATAGTCGCAGACCCACACACAGTTCTGTGAGGGTTGGTGGTTGGGCCACGCCTCCTCAGTCTGCCCTGGACTTGGCTTTCAGCCTCTCTGGACACTTCCTGGGACCACCCAAAAGTTTTCCTTCATCATTGCTCAGAGTTTGTTTTTCCAGTAGGATTAGTCTAAGAGTAAACGCCATAGGCCTTCTGGCCCTCCAAATTTAAAAAAAAGAAGAAGAAGAAGAAAAGAAAAGGAAAAGAAATCTGGGTAAAGTGAAAATTAGACTCTTAAATCTCCAAAGAAAGCTGTTTATCTTACAAATTTATTCTTTTTATTGGGCCACACATATCTAAGATGGAAAGATAAAAGGAAGACAGATAAAGGCCATCACTTAGAGTGGCATAGAGTGGGGCACAGCTCATCCTCCACTTCTGAACAGACTTTCTGAGTGACATGCCAGCCTTATCTATATGATTGTCTATAATGGGGCCTGGGCAAGGGCACACTGGAAGCCAAAAGGGAAATATGCCCTCCATCATTCCTCTGACAGCTTCTATCTGACAGCCACCACCCTGCTTCTGCTCACAAGTGGACTTCACTGAAGGAAGCAGTCAGGCAAGGCCCTCATGTGCAAGTCCTGGAACATGAGGCCCTGAAGGAATCCAGTAGCAGAAGTCAGCGCCTGCCTCCCTCTATCCTGAAAGCCAGCATCCAAGACACTTAGGTTCTGCTGCTCCTCAATTAACAGCTCCTGGCCTCCTAAATGTTGCTGTCTAATGGACTCCAACTCATGGTGATCTTATGTAGAACAAAATGAAGATGTTGCCCAGTCCTGTGACACCCTGAGAATCACGTTTGAGTGCTGTGTTGCCGCTGTTGTGCCAGTCATCTCCCTTGCTGGCCCTCTGCTTCACCAAACAGAATGTCCTCCTCTACCAATTGATGTCTCCTGCTGACATGTCCAAAGCAGGAGAGTTGGATAGTGTTCTCTTGTGATCTTTAAGGTTTCCATTGGCTAATTTTCAGAAGTAGGCCACCAGGCCTTGCTTCCTCATCTGTCTTAGTGTAGGAGCTCTGCTGAAACCTGCCCACCATGGTGACTCCGCTGATGTTTGCAATATTGGTAGCATCGCTTTTAGCATCAGAACCACATGCAAGCCACCGCAGTATGGAAAACTGATGGACGGGTGATGGCCTTATTTACTGTATTTTAACTATGTTCTAAAGAGCACATGGACAGAATTTTAATCACACTCATGGTTGGTTTAAGCTGATCTGATGGTATCAGCAAAAGGAAAGCTGGGTAGTGCTCTGAGGCCAGTTCCACAGGTTTGGGATTGGAGTAGGTGGAGGATGACTTCCCATTTGTTTAAATGTAGGGGTGGTCACCTTGGAATCAACACTCAGTCCACTGCTTTTCTGGGTAGTTGGCAAACTTCCTCTTTAAGGCAGAACTTGATGGTAGCCCTGGTAGGCTCAAACCCCAGTGATTGGAGTGCCAACTGTGACTGTATCTGAAGTATTTGATTGTGTGACATGTCATTCCAAACATCTCTTTTGCCTGCTTGTCCTTATAAATAAGATGCCTTTGGTGGCTTTCTCACATTCTTTTAGATGGTAGGGTGAGGTGACTGAGGTTGAGGTGTTGAGTTCTAGATGTGGACAAACTCAGTCCTCCTACCTCTGCAAAATTCTGAAGAAAAAAGCGCTAGACCATTAGACCCTTTGAACAGCTCTTCTAGTGATGGTAGAAGAGTTGAAGAGAATTGGAGTGCAAGTGATGTCCCTAGGCGGTGCGAGCAGGTAACATGCTTGATCTCTAACAGAAGGTTGACAGTTTGAGTCCACCCAGAGGCACCTTGGAAGAAAGACCTGACAGTTTACTTCTGAAAAACCTTCCATTCAGAACCCTATGGAGCACGGTTTTACTGACACACATGGGTTGCCATGAGTCGAGACAACTGGACGATTGGCGGTGGTGGGTCCAAAGGCAGGGGGGATGTTTTAAGCCAAGGGATTTCCAAACTTGTTCAGAGCAAACATCCAAGTAAGAAGGAAATGGGTTTGCCTTCATCTTGTTCCTGGTCTGTAAGTCTGTTTGGCTGTTAACAGAGAGCAACAGGAACGGATGTTACAGAATAAACACAGTTTGCATTTTCCATTGTTTGGTAGGTACAGATCTCATTCATTCTGATCTCTGCTGAACTCACAGATCTGCTCATTAGTCCAGAAAGTCCCCTTGCTCTCATAGTAAGATTTGCCATGAGGCCTAGAGAGTGGGCTAAAAGCTTCTGCAAGGACCTCTGTGCCCTCAGGAGCTTGGATTCTGGGCCATGCCACCAGCTCCCAGCTTTGTGGGGAGGCCTGCAAGGCAAGAAGAAAGAACAGTCCAGAGTAGAAGGCTCCCTCACCCTTCTGCACTGAAGACACAGGCTCCAGCCCTTGCCCTGCTCTGCTGATGTCTCGCCTTCACAGTGTGATGTCAGGCCTCGGGTGTTGCAGTAACATATCCTCCAACTACCCAATATTTTCACAGTTTTGTTTCCTGTTATGTCCCATCATTTATGTGCAGAAGGCAGCCATATGTAAATTTTATTCCATTTTCTAATAGTTTGGGTTACATAACAAATCATCTCAGGAAGGAGAACTTGTATTGATACTTTATGGAGGAAGTTCTCAAGTCACTGCACAAAGATTTAACTGCAGTGCTCCAAGTTTATGGCAGTTTTGCAGCTGAGTTTCTGCACATGACTTTGAATCTGTCACTATATGTTTATCATAGTCTAATTGTGGAACCACATTTCCATACTTTTTCTTCTCTCTTTCATGATATTACACCAGCCAACGATGGATACAAGATTCTACAAGGGAGAAATGATCAGTTTTGGATAATTTTCTTTCCTGTCCCAAAATAGCTGTATGTCTGCATGTCCTAGGGACTCAGCTGAGACACATTTTTTCGTTTATTGCTTGATATAATGCAAATGTGACTTCAATCCTGTAGTGAACTCTCCGGCTAGTCTATATTATAAATTAATCAGATTCAACAAACACCAACATTTTTAAACTTTTGAAAAAAAATATTTAATAGGAGCTAAGCAAAAGAAGAAATCAAACCAGCTGCTGACACAGCTGTTTCTTTTCTTGTTTAATTCAGTTCAATATAAAGGTACCATATGCTGCTTAAAATGATGATAGGAAAGATGAAATAATTTAAGAGAATAACAAGAAAATACATGAATTGTCAGCATTCTGTCAGATTTAAAGAATGAAATAGACAGGTGTAGTATTGACATGTTTAACTTTATGTGGTGTTAGCAGTTTTGGTGCGAACAACTTCTGACATGTGCTGAAGTGATGTGAGAACGTTTCTCCTCCGCTGCAGACGTTGGTGAGGAGGCTGGGAGATCCGCCGGCGTCCAGCAGCCAGCGCTGCTTCGAGACCGGAGCCTGGGCTCGGCCATGAAGGACTGCCCATACTGTGGGAAAACTTTCCGGACGTCCCATCACCTAAAGGTCCACCTGAGGATACACACAGGTGAGAGACTGGGGGAGGCTGGGGACACAGCTCAGAGCAGTCGGCCCTGCATCCCGCCGTGGGCTATTCCAGGTCTGCAATTGCATTGTCACCAAAAGTGTGAAGTTCTTAATGTTGTACTGTTGTCAAGTCGGCCCCTGACTCATTGTGACCCTACGTGCAACAGCACAACTCACTTCCCAGTCCTGCACCATCTCCATGATCAGTTGCTGATTGGCTCATTGTAATCCATAGGGTTTTCACTGACTGGTTTTCAGAAGAAGGCCACCACACCTTTCTTCCTAGTCTCTCCTGGTCTGGAAGCACCACTAAAACTAGTTCAGCATCATGGCAGCACACAAGCCTCCACTGACACTGGGTAGTGGCTGTAGATGATGTGTGTTGGCCAGAAATTGAACCTGGATCTCCCGTATAGAAGATGAGGATTCTTCCACTGAACCACCAGTGGCCCTGTGAGGTTCTCAGCAGCCCTGACTATGTGCCAATGTGTAGGTCAGAAGTGATCCTAATTTCTGGATCTGTTATTTAAGGATGACCCTCCCAAGTTACACACAGACACATAGACATGGCCCCCCATGGGGTCCAGGTCTGTTGAGAGTAATGCTTGGTCCCCTGCTGGAGCACTCCCCCCGCATGGAGTCACCCCAGGCAAAAGAAGCCCTTCCAAAATGATAAACCATGATGCACTGCTCTTTCAGCAGCCCTGTGTGATCTGACCCCGCTTACTTCCTGATCCTCTCCTGCACTGCTCACCTGAAAGTTTGAGGACATTGGTGATGGCATCCTTCTACTATACTGAAGTAGCCCTCCCCTCAGCTTTGTGGTAACCAGGAATCTTGCAGCTGCATGTGATAAGAACCCAGGTCACAGTCCTAAGTATAAAGGGCAATGCAGCAACTCCCCTGTGAGTTCATGCAGACTGGCTTTTGGTCCAGCCTAGTTTACCTGTCATACCTGGAGCCAGACAGATGGAGTTAGCCCCTCTGACCTATGTGGAACTGAGTGGTGGCCATTCTGCACTGACTGCCCTCCCAAGAAAATGGATGTGCTCTTACCCAAATAAGAGGAAATAGGTACTGGGCCATGTTGGTCGCCTCTTGTACTTCAGCCTCATCCTGGCCCCTCCCAGTGAAAGACTCTTGGTCATGGTCCTTTTTAGCTTTTCTGCTGATAGTTTGCATACTGCCAGTACAAAAAAAAAAAAAAAAAAAATCTATTTGAGATATGGACACCTCCATTTTCTTTGATTTTTCTTCTGACACTTTATCTATTGGAGTATGAGCTGCTTCAAAGGATAGACAAATATACCATCTATTTTCAAAAATAATTGTCATCTATTTCCCAAGGAATCAATAAAGCTCAGGATTGTGCAGGGATATTTAATGCATGTAGGCCCTGTGCATGCCGCTTGGTTAAAGGCAAGGAGCCCCTCACCCAGCACTTCCTCTGATGCCCAGGGGAGCCCTGAACACCAGTGGCAGTGGGCTTCGCCTGTCGTCTTTACTTACAGCCTGGGGTGCAGTGGATCACTGACCCCCACCCCAGCCTGGGAGCACTCCCCCCTCATGAAGTGATCCTCTTGGGAGTGATCCCAGCCAAGGAGAAGTCCTTTAAAACTACAAACCAGGAAGCATCACTCTCCCAGAATGCCCCATGTGATCCGACCCACCTGCCTCCAGACCCCAGCTCACACTATTCTTCATCTTGATCACCTCTCTTAAACCCCACTTCCCTCCTTGCTCTTCTTGAATGTAGACAATTCCTGCTGCAGGACCCTTGCACCTGCTGCTCCCTCTGCCTGAAATGTTTTCCTCCACATGGTCTCAGAGACCACCCTGACTCACCATCTAAATATCCCTCACAGCTCCTGCTTTATCTTCTTCATAAACATAACATTTTCAGAAACTATCCTGTTCCATTTGCACGTTTGATTTCTGAGGTCTGTCTCCCACCCAATACAGTTTAAGGTTTGTGAGTCTGGCAGTATCACCCATCTTTTAACTGCAGTAACCTCAGGGCCTCCAAGAGCACCTCAGCAGAGTAGGTACACAATACATGGATTTGAGAGGCTGGATGAAAGAACAAAGGCAAGAATAAATGTGACCCTCCTCCTTTCATCCCTGCACTGTGCAAGGTGACACAGAGGGGACAGCCCACTGAGGAGCATGGTGCCTTTTCCAAGGAGCCCATGGTCATTTAGGAAGGACAGCACACCTGCACCCATCATAAGCCTGGCAGTGATGCACCAGTTGCTCAATTCCTGGGTGAGGGTGGGAGGTCAGGGCCTCTGCACTTTGCACTTTGTTTTCCTCTGCCAGATAGATAACCTGTGTGGCTTACTGCCTCACCTGCAGGCTGTGGGGATTCATGCTTCCTTCCCAGAAGGTCTCCCTTCCCACCTGTTTAACAGTACACCTCTATCTCCCACTAGCACTTCCTTTCCCTGATTCCTTGGCCTCCCTAGCACTCACCTCATCTGGCATGTCATATATTCGTATTTTGTTCTTGTCCATTTCCACACAGTGGAATGTAAGCTCAGGCTTCCGTGTGCTTGTTGAGCTGTGCTCCAACACCTAGAACAGAGCCTGCCTCGTAGTATGAGCCCAGAAAGGATTTGTCCAATAAATGAATTAATTACTGAATAAGTGAAAATAATCAGGCTTGGGGGAGTTAGCTTGGACATCTGGTTTCTCAGACCATACCAATGCCCATTTTCCTCCCTAGGTTGGAGCTGGGGAACCAATAGAGCACCAGGTCATGGGAGGCTACCACAAAGTACCCACTGTCAGATTGCTCCTTCAGATGGGAAGACAAGATCAGGGATGTCTTGTGACATTAAACTTTTATTTTAGATAGATACAGAATCTGAGCCAGGCTTCCCAGGTAGGTGGTGGTTCACTTTACCAAGGCTTACTGTCCAGAAAAGAAAGGGGTGGTGTCTCCCAACAAGGGGCTTAGCTGACCCTGTTGGCCCCAACCCACATCACCTGCCTGAGGAGTAAGAGTAGAAACTCCACAGAATATTTCCTGGGAAATGTAGAGGCCAAACTGGCAGAAGGCCTGGTAGAACTGGGTGGAAACAAAAAGCAGTTTTTGCAATTTTAAAGGTTAAACCAGAAAGCCAAACTCACTGCCGCTGAGTCGGATCCAACTCATAGCGACCCCTCCTTGGGTTTCTAAGGTGGTATCACTACGGAAGTAGATTGCCCAACCTTCCTTCTGAGGAGTGGCTGGTGGGTTTGGACCGCCAGCCTTCTGCTTAGCAGTCAAATGCCTTAGGCACTGTGCCACCAGAGCTCCCATTTAAAGGTTGGGAGAGGTGTGTTCCCAAACTTCTACCTGATAGTTTGTGCCCAGTAGTCACTCTGTTGGAGACACTTGAGAGTCAAGACAGGGCCATGGACAAAGGCATTCCAGAAACTTCTCAGAATAACGGAGAAAATGAAAGGATCCATGGAAACATCACATACCCCCCACCCCCACCCTAGGAAACAGCATTTACTGTGTTTAAAAGACAGAATGGTAACCAGATAAAGATCAATTTCCTTTTTATCTAAGAACAAAGACTGGAAAATGCTTACACTTCTACATTTGAATAGAACAGAAAGTGTTACGTGTTATAAATCACCAAATAAACACCCATTATGACAATGTAGAAGTGTAGATTACACGAGTAATTAAAAATCAAAATCAAGTTACTTGTTAATAAATGATTTCATATAGGGCTCAAACCATAGCAATGCCCCACACTGTCATCGCCTCCTTCCGTTTTTGTATTTCCAAAAGGCATGGTGAGAGGACAGTAGTCTATGAGATAAAAATGCATGTTTTCCCAAATGCTGTCTTTTGAAGTTTTTCTAGAATGGACCCAGATGAGCACACTGAAAGATCCAATGGGTAATAAATATATTTTAATTGGGTGGGACATTAGGTGGCACCTTCTCTGTATTTTTGTGTCATACTCCATCTTTATTAGGATTCGTGATTGTATAACATTGACTGATAAAAACCACTTTCCTTTTTTTCTCCACTACATTAACTCAATTACTGCTCTTCTTCTCCCGACACCTGTTTATTAGAGAGGTACTGAGTACATACACCAGTCAGGTTTCTCTGAACACCTGGGGCCTGGCAAGAGGCTGCAGGTAGCTAAGACATTTCCTCTGCACACTGAGTGTCAACCAGATCCACAGGGGAGGGGAGGGGTCTGGAGGACCTCAGGAGCCCCTACAGCCAGCCAGATACTAGAGACTGCCCCATCTGGCTCCTGACAGGGAAGGAACTGACCACTGCCCAACCCAGGGGGGACTGAACGCCTCTCCTCTTTGAAGCATGACCCTTTCATTCATGGGGTATGTGCAGTTTCTCTCCTAGGGCACAATGTTTGTGATTCAAATTCAGAGCCAGCCAGTGCAGCCTGGGAAAGGAGCTGCACCAGCAGGTAGTTAGTCTTAACACGGAAGGGACAGTGGGAATGTCCCCAGTGTCTCCCCCAAAGCCTAGCCCTATACTCTCCTTACCTGCTGCCCACAGTCGCCCTCAGTTCTTTCCCTTACTGCCCCTTCCTGCAGTTCCACGTTAGGGAGCTGAGTGCATGAGGACACTCTAGGGTCCTGTGTAGGCATCTGTTATGTGTACAGGAAGCAGGTAGGTGCTAATTAGTCCCTGAAAGGCTGGAGGGGTGTGTGCTCCCACCAAAACTCCCAGATGGATGCAAGGCCTCCTGCATTGGTTGAGGGACTCCAGGCTGGGTTCTCTCATGTTTCATGAGAACTGTTGTCTCAGGGATGACCATTGTAGAGAAATATAATAAGCAACCTGATTCGTGAAAACTTGGAGGCATGAAAGTTCAGGGACTAATTAAAAATAAATCTCGTTAGTTTTTTTCTCCTCTCAAATTATGCGCGTGGTTTATTAATCTGTGTTTGATGTGCTACACACTCCAGCTCTGAGTTGGGAGCCTCTTTATTGAGATAGTGTCGCACAGGGAAGGCAGCCAG